ATTAATGTTACAACAAATTATAGATACTATTAAATCTATGAAAGCAGGAAAGGAATCTGGTCCGTGTGGATTTCCAATAAAATGGTATATTTATGGAAATGTTTGTTCATACTGTATATTGTTGGCCACTATAATGAGATTTACATGAAATGCATGTTTTACTCCTCGTTTTATGAGATTTAGTATCTATCAATCAATCAATCATAGTAATATTGATTGAAACTGGGTAAAGTTCACACATATTGTGCTAGTTAAAGTTTGATATCCTTGCTAAGTGCAAACGCTGAAATTTTGATGGCAACATTAGCACAGAGATTACTGAATATATTTCCTTCTCTAGTTCATCCTGCACTGCACAGATTCATTAAAGAGAGTATTAGAATATTCGAAGATATGTTAGACATTAAACTGAGAAAATTTATTTGGCTATGGTCACTTCTTTAGATGCAGAAAAAGCTTCTGATTAGTGCTAATTAAAATTTTGAAACATCTTTATTAACTAGGTTAGACTGTGGAATTTAAATCACTAAGCTTTAATTATTATGAGCATTGCTTAGAGTCCATTAAAACATATGTAATGACTTTGAAGGTGGAGAATAAGAGGTTTTTCTCTACTATCATGTCTACTGAAAATTGCCTGAAGGAACTGTTCCCAAGGAACAGGCCTGATCCTTATACCCTTGGCAAATTGCAATGGCTTTTCAAACTTTTTACACAGACAAAACCTCTCATATAAGCAAGCATATTGATAACACCATTAATTATGATAGTAGGGAGGCCAGTACATTTGCTTGCCCAATGTTACTGGATCACTTCTTTATTCTCTCCTTAAGGATGTGGACAAGATGCTTGGAGTTATTATCTGCCCATGGGACCATATCCCTTTTGGCTGTACTGGCTTGGAGTAATCTATTGATGGAGGTCTTATGTTCTATTATTAAAGCCTCTATCTCATAAGGGTAATACTGCCTGCTTTTTCAACCTGATGAAAAAAAATTAGATTCCTCCCTATTAAGCAGCTATAGAAGTTTTCTAATTTGCCTTTCTTAGTCAAGGTGGTTGAGCAGGTGATGGGTGGGTAACTCCAAATGCTCATGGATGATACTGATTACCTAGAACTGTTTCAGTCTGGATTTAGGCACAGGCCATTATAAAGACTGATTTGATGGATGATCTCTTGATGGCTCATAATAGAGGGAGTGTGCCCCTACTCATACTTTTGATATAATTGGCCACCTCAGGAAGTTGATGGTTGGGACATGGTTATGCTGCTACCTTAAGTAGGAGCAAGTCCAAATCATGAGTTAAAATGCATTCAACTTAAAAAAATTCTAACAGCCAACCTTTTAAAAATTATCTGATGGGGTATCCTATCATTAGGATAGGATTAATTAATTAAAAGCATTAGTGAAATAAACATTGATAATTTACACAAAGAAACATTTGGAACATTCTCTTATCAAATCAGTGGCTTATGTTCTATAGTATCAGACGTGTGTCTTACATGTATGTATGTATGTATATGTATGTATGTGTGTGTGTGTGTGTATACACACACACATACATACATATACATCCATACATACATGTAAGATACACGTCTGATACTATAGAACATAAGCCACTGATTTGATAAGAGAATGTTCCAAATGTTTCTTTGTGTAAATTATCAATGTTTATTTCACTAATGCTTTTAATCAGTGGCTTATGTTCTATAGTATCAGACGTGTGTCTTACATGTATGTATGTATGTATATGTATGTATGTGTGTGTGTATACACACACACACACACACACACACACATACATATATATACATACATACATGTAAGATACACGTCTGATACTATAGAACATAAGCCACTGATTTGGTAAGAGAATGTTCCAAATGTTTCTTTGTGTAAATTATCAATGTTTATTTCACTAATGCTTTTCAATTTTCAAATGTTTATATAGCTGAGCTGTAGTTTTAAATTCCATTGAGATCTATTCCAGTATGCGCAATAATTTATGAGTTTCAGAGGCTGCCAACACATGTCCAAAGTGAGAGATCAACAAATGCTTTAATTGTATATATTGACACTGAGAATTTTCAGTCAGCCCAGTTGTTTTGTCATGCCTCAAAGCTTTAAAAGAATTTTCAATGACCAATTGATCTTTTTCTGCCCAGATTAAGAAAAACAAACTTACACTCATTGAATTAGGGTATCCCAAAGGCTCAGTTTCTCATAACAAGGATCTAATTTAAAAACATAATCCCAAAGCTTTACAATGTATCTTGCTGCCTTTAAAGCAGAGGAAAGTAAGTAAATAATGAATGCAGCTAAAATTAGAACCAAGCACTTGCCAAGTTTTTGATGGAATCAAATAACTGATTTTCAATTGTACCTGTAATGGTTCATTGTCAAAATTATTCACATTTCACTTAAAACAGAAGTCAAAATAGAAACTCTCCATCCTCAAAAGAAAGCCTACATTTGTCTAAGGAAAATGTGAAGGTTTGTCCATTCCACAGAAATGTCCTCAATAGTTCATCAGTTTGTTGAAAATAATTCTCGAAGGAATTAGCATATAGTATCCTCTTAAAATATAAACCAATCTAGATATAATTATTTTGATCATGTTTATTCTTCCCAATAAGTTTAGAGGAATTTTCAACCACCTATTTATGTAAATATTTATCCATGTAATATAATAAAAATGTTTTAATGTACTAACAAATATATTTGGGATTTGGGACTGAAACAGCATTGGTCTCACTTTTAGATGATCTCTGGCGGGAGCGGGATGGGGGTAGTGCCAGTTCAATGTAAGTGAGCACATGACTTTAAACACATGTCTTTCCCAAAAATCCAAGCTTTATAAATCCAAATTATTCCTAAATCAATAAATTCCAAGTTTTCACTGTAGATCAATGTCACATTAAAGTCTTTAAATTTAATTTCTCTTTGCAAAATCATATTAAATATAGTTTGGGTATCAGACCAAAACTAAGCAGCTAGAGAAGTTCAAATTATACATGTCAAAGTCTCCTCAAATCTATGACCTCTCCAGCTTTTAAAGGTTGACAACAACATCAACTGATTCGTCCAATAAACATGAAAAATAATGTTTTGATAAATTAGTCTTATCTTAACATCCTACCAAACATTTAATATTCTTTAAGACATGATATTATTGATTTCTTAGAATAGAAAATAATCAACCTTAGGCAGAAGGATCTTAATTATTTCTTAAATACCACATTTAATAAATACATATTTAATATTGATCTTCATGAATAAATTCTGGCAAAATTATTTTCAGTTTATCAGCTAGAATCATTGTGAACAACGTGTAGTCATTATTCAATAATGATATTGGCCTATAGTTTCTTGTTAAAGTCGAATCTTGTCCCTCTTTAGGCACTAGTGCTAAATTGGCCTATTTCCAACTTTCTGGCATCTGTCCACCCTGTAAGATTGAGTTCAACATGTTTTGTAGAAGTTGTAAAAGTTCATCCACAAAACATTTATAATAAAAACCTGATAATCCATCTGGCCCAGGAACCTTTCCTGGTTTAATCTTTGTTATAGCTTCAGAAACTTCCCTTATTGAGACAGATTCATAATCTGTCTCTGTTCCTCTGTAAACCTCAGTAAATTTTATTTAGATATTCATCTATTTTCTTTAGAGAGATGTCACTTCCTTTATACAAGATGAAATAATATTGATGAAATGCTTTTTGTATGGTTGCAGGTTTTTGTTGTTGGTTTTTTTTTGGTATGGCTGCATTATCCATTAATACAGTATCTCCCTCTTGTAATTTCAATATCATTTTTTTCTTTTCATAATTTACATGCCAGCCACTTCCCTGATTTGTTTGCAAACTTTTTTTTTTGCTTTACATAATTCATTTTTATTTCTATTTCTCTTCCTATTGACAAAGATAACTGTCATAAAAGCTTAATTTGTTAATACTTCTCTGGAAATTTCTTTAATTCTTCTTCTTTTCTCTTTATGTCATCCAAAATAGCTTGTTTTTTCTCTTGACTCTTCTTTTTGAGTTCAGTATTATGTTGTATAAAATTACTTCTAATAAAAGTGTTACTTGCATCCCAAACCGTTCTTAAATCAGTGCCTTTACCTAAATATTTTCAAAAAATTATTTTAACTTCTTTTCACAATCCTCCACTATTGTTTCTTTCTGTAGCAACATTTCATTTAGTTTTCATCTAAAAGAACTAGATTTTCTTTTATAAACCAAACTTACAGGATTATGATCTGAAAAAGTCTTTGGTAATATTTCTACTTTAGCAACCCTAGTAGCCAAGTTCTTTGAAATCCAATCATGTCTATTCTTGAAAAGGATCTATGTCTTTCAGAAAAGTAGGTTTACTCTCTTGAATTGT